GAACCTAGGATAACCCAAAAAAAGTCAAACTAAGTGACTTGTTTCCATTGGGGTCCTTTAATTTCCATGATTTCTATCAAAATTATAAAAAGAATTGATAGATCTGATCGTAGCAGTGTTTGAATTAAGCAGGTCAGGATCAGGGGGAGACAGGTGAGAGCTAAAGACACAAGAGCCATAGAGATGTAAGGAAGTATTTATGAAGTCTCGGGGAGGAGGGGAAGGAGAGGGGACTGAGAAGTGGAATGACTTGGATGAAGCAAATTCAATTCATAACTTCAAGAGTAGGTCCAAGAGGCCAAAAGTCAATGATGTGAATCAAAGTGGTCCAAGAGTTAGAGCCAAGAGTTAAGTATTGACCTCCACAAACAAATCAGTGAGTACTCTCTCCCCCTAAATAGCACTGTCAAAATTATTAGACTACTGCTACACAATCACAAATGTACTGAAAGTAAAAATATTGATTGTACACAGATTTTTGCAAAGGCATTTAAAAGATGTAACTGTTGTGTGCCAGCCTATAAAATGATGTCAATACATATAGGTAAGGCAGCAAAGTAAAAAAAAAAAAAAAATAAATAAATAAATTAAGTAACACAAGGTAAAGTCCTGGCACTGTTTCTCGCCCTCATAGGAGACAAATAAAAATACAGTGGACCCCCGCATTACGATTTTAATCCGTGCAAGAGGGCTCATTGGTATGCGAAATAATCGGTATGCGAATGAATTTTCCCCATAAGAAATAATGGAAATCAAATTAATCCGTGCAAGACACCCAAAAGCATGAAAAAAAAATTTTTACCACATGAAATATACATTTTCCTACACACAAAGAGAAGGATACATGCACAATAGTAGAGTAGTACATGCACAGTATATATTGTGCATGTACTAGTCTACTAAATGAAGAATAAATGACACTTACCTTTATTGAAGATGCAGCAATGACTGATGAGACACTGTGTCCTGGGAGTGCCTTTTCCTCCTGAGTACTGTAGGTCCTGTTTGGTATTTTCTTCCAGAACAGGCCTTATCACACTGTGTATGTCACTACGATTCTTAAATCTCTCAAACCAACCTTTGCTGGCTTTAAATTCACCAATATGAGCACTAGTTCCAGGCATTTTTCCCTGTTCACCTGGGTGTTAGTTGACTGGTGTGGGTTGCATCCTGGGAGACAAGATTAAGGACCCCAATGGAAATAAGTTAGACAGTCTTCGATGACACTGACTTTTTTGGGTTATCCTGGGTGGCAAATCCTCTGGGGTTAATTGTTTCTTGGTATATTCTCAATAAGCCACACCAACAACAGTGCTACAGCAGCAGCAGACGATGCTACAGCAGCAGCAGCAGCTGACAGTGCTACAGCAGCAGCAGACGATGCTACAGCAGCAGCAGACGATGCTACAGCAGCAGCTGACAGTGCTACAGCAGCAGCAGACGATGCTACAGCAGCAGCAGACGATGCTACAGCAGCAGCAGCAGCTGACAGTGCTACAGCAGCAGCAGACGATGCTACAGCAGCAGCAGACGATGCTACAGCAGCAGCAGCAGCTGACAGTGCTACAGCAGCAGCAGACGATGCTACAGCAGCAGCAGACGATGCTACAGCAGCAGCAGCAGCTGACAGTGCAGCAGCAGCTGTACCACCAATAGTAGCGATGGCTGATTGGGGTTTATTATACAACCTGGCCAGCTCGGAGACACGCACTCCACTTTCATACTTATCAATGATCTTTTTCTTCATCTCTATTGTAATTCTCACCCTTATTGCTGTAGGGTTGGCACTAGAAGCTTTCTTGGGGCCCATGGTCACTTATTTTCCAGATAAAGCACCGAAAACAATGTAATAATACGAAATGTTCCGATTGTATGCTTGGATGTTACCGCGGAGGCTGGCTGGTAAACAATGCCACCGGCGGAACATGTGAGGCTGGCTGAGGGCGCACATTGGACGCGTCTCGGACGAACAGCGGTGAGCGGGTTTTTAAGCGGTATGCGAGGCAAAATTTTTGCGATTAAAGCAAGCGGTATGCGGATTAATCGTTATGTGATGCCAACGGTATGCGGGGGTCCACTGTACTAATCATAGCTTCATGTTGTTCTTTCCGAGTACCAAAATAACCACTAAAGTTGCCATGGAAATTAGACATCAATACCTTTGCCAGACCTCTGACTGGTTATGAGTTTTTTCTACCTGAGGCAAAGCTTTTCCATACATTGTCTGCTCAACTGGTTACCCACTGGCCCACAAATTCACCACAGCCCCTGATCTGGCAACTTGGTGAAGTGTTTCAGTTTCCTCTTCAATACCTCTACATTTTTTTTTCAGCAAGCATGTGTGAGCGTGTTAGATAGGAGTGAATGGAGACGAATGGTACTTGGGACCTGACGATCTGTTGGTGCGTGTGCAGGGTAATATTTAGTGAAGGGATTCAGGGAAACCGGTTATTTTCATAGTCGGACTTGAGTCCTGGAAATGGGAAGTACAATGCCTGCACTTTAAAGGAGGGGTTTGGGATATTGGCAGTTTGGAGGGATATGTTGTGTATCTTTATATGTTGATAAATTAGACACATGTGCAACTCTTGGGTATCTTTATTGAGGAAACGTTTCGCCACACAGTGGCTTCATCAGTCCATACAAAGGAGAATCTTGAAGAACAGGAGGAGAATGAGGTAATCAGTCCCTCAACCTTGAGTCGATGTGGTCAGTCCATCAATCTTGAATAGATTGATTGGATTGATGGACTGACCACATCGACTCAAGGTTGAGGGACTGATTACCTCATTCTCCTCCTGTTCTTCAAGATTCTCCTTTGTATGGACTGATGAAGCCACTGTGTGGCGAAACGTTTCCTCAATAAAGATACCCAAGAGTTGCACATGTGTCTAATTTATCAACATGTCGGTTCTCTGAACCATTCATCTACAAATCTTTATATGTGTATGCTTCTAAACTGTTGTATTCTGAGCACCTCTGCAAAAACAGTGATAATGTGCGAGTGTGGTGAAAGTGTTGAATGATGATGAAAGTATTTTCTTTTTGGGGATTTTCTTTCTTTTTTGGGTCACCCTGCCTCAGTGGGAGATGGCCGACTTGTTGAAAAAAAAAAAAAATTATAATATCTGCTGGCAGCAGGTTTAATAAGTCTTGGACCACAGATCTTGTCAAGCTGGGAGCACCACTTGTAGTCCAGTGAGCTGACTGATAAAATCTACATAAGGTACTACCCAAATACTGAATGTTAATTTACTTTCTTTAGATTATTGTGTATTTTTAAGGTTGTTTATCAAGCTATGAAATTCTGGATTCCCTTTTTGATCTCATTTCTATGAAATTTCACTATGTGATGACTTCACAAAAGGGTTTACTATAGCTATTTGAAGTAATTTTTTCACATTCCATTGTCAATGATCCCTTGTGTTAAAAGAGTCAGCAGGGAGGAAATACCTTCACAAATTATGTAAAGTGCTTGATTCTTAGTAAGGTATGTGCTCTGTAGGAAATGCAGCACCCTTCCCTAAGAAGAGGCCTCTACTCCATGGTACAAACTCTTGACACCATGTTAAAATGACCCAGCATCAGGATGAACAACTATGTGACTTGACGATGGTTCAGGACAGACTGAAACGTCGTCATACCTGTGTAACAATATGCAATAAATCTGAATAAGAGCTGCTGCAACAGTGGATGTAGCAATTTCAGTAGCCTCTACAGCAGTAGCTCCAACAACTTCAGCAGCAACTTCAGTAGTAGTAGCAGCAGCAGCTTCAGCAGTAGCAGCTGTAGGACTTTCTTCAGCAGATTCAGGAGCAGTAGCCGTAGATAATCACGATAAATTACATCAAGGGGGATGGAGTAACTAGGTAACTCCACTCTCTACCATCACACATCCCTCAAGGGCTTACAAAGGAACAATAACAAGATCAAAGTAATCCGAATGGTCCATGGTAGGCTAGAAAGCATTTAAGGAGAAAGACAAAACACACAAAAAATCCAGACTGTTCGGTCTGAACAACAATTGAACCTCTTGACCATGTCTGCATACTTTTAAGTGCTGAGGTACTACCATGTGATTGGCTGATTAGTTACCTGCATTAACAAGCAGGTATACAAGTGTACCCAATAAAGTGGCCACTGAACATAAGGTGTCCTCCTCCCTCTGCTGATGAGGATTCCAGCTAGGAGTCAAAATATACAGTTTTTGTCCCACTGCTGTTTTCTTGTCTACATGTGGGGATACCCTTCAGTATACCTGACACTATATACATGGAAAATACCTGAGAGCTTTAGTACCAGATCTACATATTACCATAGCTTGGCTCCAGGCCAGGCTGTGAGGGTATTTTATTTTAATTAGGGAAGTACTAAATAATTCTTAAAACTGGTCACAGGTACATCATAGGAGTGTCCAGAGGTTAGAGCATTTGAAAAAGTACTGAAAAAGGCAGGCAACAAAAGCAATAAGACAGTCATGTCAGGAGCAGAGAGTCCAAGGGCTAATTCGACAAAACAGTAATGATTCAGGCTAGATGGATGAATAGTTTGAGCAAAGAACCAGTTTATAGGGACTATGATCTTTAACAAGATGGAAAAGCCCACTGTTAGTGTTAGCAAGGCAAACACATCACGTGTGTTCTTTAAATTTATCAGAAAGAGGATGGCCAATTTAACCAATGTATTAGAAGGGTGCAAGCACAGTAGGAAATGAAATATTCCTAACTTGATAATGGGCAAGGATGCACTGAAGCAGTGTCAAAGGCTTTTTTTTTTTTTTTAATTTCAGCGTCATTTGTGAGATTTTTTGGCACTATCAAGTGAATATAATTAAAAATGTCTTCTGATATTCAATAATCTTTCAGATTAAAATACGAAAAAACTGCTTACAAAAATATACCACTTTATTCTCATACTGCTTCTCTCTTATATTCATCTCTTTTGTTATTATTGTATTGCCATTATTAAACAGTTCATATATACCATACATCAATTTGTACCTTCTTTTCCAGAATTGTGAGTGAGGTTGATGAGAACCTTGATGGTAGTGAGCAGAGCCTGAACCAGCAGCTGACCTGTTGATGTTCCACCAACAATAGTGTTTTGGCTGTGCGCTTCACTTGCAGGATAAACAGATACCTCCGTATGACACAAGCGATACAAACACATCAGCTTTTCCAGAAAGATGCCCCCTTGAAATTTTAAGAGGTATTCCTGGTTGGCTGTGTTCTGATGTGTTACCTGCTTGACAAATGAATTTAATTTGTATTAGAACATAATGAACATACAGTAAGCCCTCTATTTAATGAGCTATTTAATGAAGAAATTTTTTTTTGCCATGACTGTAACAATATTGAACAATTCTGGGATCGAAAGACTTTGTCTACTGTTCCCAAATCTAGTGAATCACAGATTTTATTACGTAATTCCAAAATCTGTTAAATGGAGGGTTTACTGTAATTATTACTCAGACTTACAGGTTAGAGGGAGGGGGTAAAGGAGGTTTTGTGTGCGAGGGGCTTGGACTTCCAGCAGGCATGCGTGAGCGTGTTTGATAGGAGTGAATGGAGACAAATGGTTTTTAATACTTGACGTGCTGTTGGAGTGTGAGCAAAGTAACATTTATGAAGGGGTTCAGGGAAACCGGCGGGCCGGACTCGAGTCCTGGAGATGGGAAGTACAGTGCCTGCACTCTGAAGGAGGGGTGTTAATGTTGCAGTTTAAAAACTGTAGTGTAAAGCACCCTTCTGGCAAGACAGTGATGGAGTGAATGATGGTGAAAGTTTTTCTTTTTCGGGCCACCCTGCCTTGGTAGGAATCAGCCAGTGTGATAATAATAACTTACAATAATTTTTTTTTCATTTTAACACACTAGTCGTCTCAATCCAAGGTAGGGTGGCTTAAAAGAAAAGGAATCATATTCATTAATCCCTCGTTTAATAGCTGTACTCATCTATTTGTAGCTGCAGGGAGTTGATTCTCAGATCCAGGCCCTGTCGCTTAACATGCCACTCTTCAGATTCATTACTTCTTAGCCTCATGGGTCCTATTGTACCTGCTCTTAAAACAATGAATGGAGCATGCCTCCACCCTTCTGCTTCCTAACCACTCTGAGACTAAAGAAATACTTCCTGACATCCCTGTGGGTTTTATGCTGTTTGCTTCTCAAACAGCCTATCCCTGTCTACCTTATCGATTTCCCTGAGCATTTTGTATGTTGTTATCATGTATCCTTAGTTCCTCTGTCATCCAATACTGTTAGGTCCAATTTCATTAGTCTCTCTCATAGCTCAGGAGCAAGCCTTGCTGCATACTTATACACTTTCTGCAATGTCTTAACTTTCACTGTATATATTTTTTATTAACACATCGGCCATCTCCCACCTAGGTCTGGCCCATGGCCAGGCTCAAAGTAGATAAACTCTCGAAACTCTTCAAAGGTAACTCTCTCGAAACTCTTCTTCAAAGGTAGGCAGGGTGGCCCGAAAAAGAAAAACTTTCATCATTCACTCCATCACTGTCTTGCCAGAGGCGTGCTTGCACTATAGTTATAAAACTGCAACATTAACACCCCTCCTTCAGAGTGCAAACACTGTACTTCACTATTACACTTTCCTTCCATTCTGAATTCATAATCACAAAAAAATAGAAGATTTACTCTATTTTCAAATAATAAAATAAACCATGAATGATTGGTCAGGGTTTAGTGTCCCAATAACTGAATCAGTTCTATTAAATACCCATAAAACAGACAAGGGGATGTAGGTGGGGAGTCTTACCCGTTCAGGAAAATCAGGAAAAACTGAATATTTCTGCTACTTTGAGTCCAATTTCAAGATACTTCCAGTCCCGACACCAACCAAAATCATATCTATTTCAGTATCATATCTTCCCTTTATAAAGGGAAGGGGGACAAAAGAGATTGTAAAAATTATAGAGGAATAAGTTCACTGAGTATACCAGGAAAAGTGTACGGTAGGGTTATTATTGAAAGAATTAGAGGTAAGACAGAATGTAGGATTGCAGATGAGCAAGGAGGTTTCAGAGTGCGTAGGGGATGTGTAGATCAAGTGTTTACATTGAAGCATATATGTGAACAGTATTTAGATAAAGGTAGGGAAGTTTATATTGCATTTATGGATTTAGAAAAGGCATATGATAGAGTGGATAGGGGAGCAATGTGGCAGATGTTGCAAGTATATGGAATAGGTGGTAAGTTATTAAATGCTGTAAAGAGTTTTTATGAGGATAGTGAGGCTCAGGTTAGGGTGTGTAGAAGAGAGGGAGACTACTTCCCGGTAAAAGTAGGTCTTAGACAGGGATGTGTAATATCACCATGGTTGTTTAATATATTTATAGATGGGGTTGTAAAGGAAGTAAATGCTAGGGTGTTCGGGAGAGGGGTGGGATTAAATTACGGGTAATTAAATACAAAATGGGAATTGACACAGTTACTTTGTGCTGATGATACTGTGCTTATGGGAGATTCTAAAGAAAAATTGCAAAGGTTAGTGGACGAGTTTGGAAGTGTGTGTAAAGGTAGAAAGATGAAAGTGAACATAGAAAAGAGTAAGGTGATGAGGGTATCAAATGATTTAGATAAAGAAAAATTGGATATCAAACTGGGGGGGGGGGGGGGAATATGGAAGAAGTGAATGTTTTCAGATATTTGGGAGTTGACGTGTCAGCGGATGGATTTATGAAGGATGAGGTTAATCATAGAATTGATGAAGGAAAAAAGGCGAGTGGTGCGTTGAGGTATATGTGGAGACAAAAAATGTTATCTATGGAGGCAAAGAAGGGAATGTATGGAAGTATAGAAGTACCAACACTCTTATATGAGTGTGAAGCTTGGGTTGCAAATGCTGCAGCGAGGAGGCAGTTGAGATGTCCTAAGAGCAATGTTTTATTGTGGCAATATTTTTTATTGTAAACAAAATAACGATGAAAATATTAGTGCAGTTATAGTGTTGAATACAACAAGTGTACATATATATATTATGCAGTATACTGGTCTCACAGGCCACAAACATTACTGGAAAAAACAAAATTAGAAAAGAAAAAAGGAACAAAACAGTAAAACAAAAAAATGCGACTTTACGGAAGTCGCAGATGTTGCCGCCACCCGGTCATTGAAGGTCAACTTCACACCTTTATCTTGGTACTGATCTGAAATTTTGTTTTTATTACCTACAGAAAAATATCTTTAATTCTGTAATTTTTTTTTTTTTTTTTTTTTTTCAAAAATTCTTTGACCCTGGCTGCCACTTTGAGATTTGACCTCTGGACCCTGAAAGGGTTAAAACTGAAAACAAGGGTGATTTACTTTATAGCACTTTTCACTTTACGGTGGTAGCCTGGAACCTAACCAGCTCTATAATCGGGGCCCTCCTGTAGTTCTACGCGAGTCACTGAAAGGGTTAAGTAACTCAAGGATATTAACAGTTGCAATTAATTCTATGGGTTGGTTAAGCTATCACAACATCAAGGCTGGTGCCAGTTTTTCATCAAAGTAGCTACAGTACATAATGGAAACATTGTAGGTTATAAAAATAACAAGACCTAAAATAGAGAGTAATGCCATAGGAGGCATAAAATGAAAGAATTATAAATAAAATTTTAGAACTCCACTGACTCATCCTCGCAGTAGATAATGTTAAAGAAAGTACTGTATAATTTTTTTATTACTGTATACTGGCTAAAACTATAAATACACATTTTTTTTTATTAACACAAAAGCCGTTTCCCACCAAGGCAGAGCGACTCAAAAAAGAAGAAACACTTTCATCATCATCCACTCCGTCACTGTCTTGCAAGAGGCACACCCACACTAGCTAAAAAAAAACTGCAACACATCAACACCCCCTCCTTCAGAGCACAAGCAATGTACTTCCCACAAGTCTGGCCAACCAGTCTCCCTGACTCCCTTCATAAATGTTACTTTGCTCACACTCCAACAGTACATCAAGTCATAAAAATCATTCGTCTCCACTTGCTTCTGTCTAAGAAGCTCACTCACCCCTGCTGGAAATCCAAGCCCCTCACACACAAAACCTACTTTACCCCCTACCTTCAACCTTTAGTAGGATGACCCATACCCCTCCTACCTTCCACTACAGATTTATATGCCCTCCAGATCATTCTATTTGTTCCATCCTCTCTAAATGTCTGAACATCAACAACCCCTCCTCAGCCCTCTGAATTATACTTTTAGAAACTCTGCACCTCCTTCTAATCTCCAAGATACAGATTCTCTGCATTATATTCACACCACACACTGCCCTCATACATGATATCTCCACTGCCTCCAGCTTTCTTGTTGCAACATTCACCAGATATGCTTCACACCCATATAAAAGCACTGGTACCACTATACGTACTCTCATACATTCCCCTCAATGCTTTCACGGATACTGTTCTTTGTTTCCACTGACTCCTCAATGCACCACTCACATTTTTTCCACCCTCATCAATTCTATGATTTACTTAGGCTTTCACAAACCCATCTGCTTCCATGTCCACTCCCAAATATCTGAATACATTCACTTCCTCTATACTCCTTCCCTCTAATCTCATATTCAATCTTTCACTACCTAAATTTTTTGTTACCTTCATTACCTTACTCTTTCCTACGTTCACTTTTGATTTCCTTCTTTTACATACCATCCAAACTCATCCACCAAAAGCACAGTGTCATCAGCAAAAAGCAAGTGTGACAACTCCAACTTTGTGTTTGATTCTTTGTCTCTTAATCCCACATCTCTTACTAACACTCAAGCATTCACTTCTTCTACAACCCAATCTATAAATATACTGAAGTACCATGGTGACATCATGTATCCCTGTCTCTTAAAAACTATTGACTGTTTTCAGTAACCTACCACCTATTCTACACATTTGCAACATCTGCCATATTGTTCCCCTATCCACCCTATTAGATGCCTTTTCAAAATCCATAAATGAAACAAAAACCCTCTTTCCCCTTATCTAAATACTGTTCACCTATAAGCTTCATTGTAAACACTTGGTCTACACACCCCTTACCTTTCCTAAAGCCTCCTTCATCTGCAATCCTGCTCTCCGTCTTACTCTCTATTCTTTGAATAATAACTACCATATATTTTACCGGTCATACTCAACAGGCTTATTTCCCTATAATTTTTACACTTGTTTTCCCTTTGCCTTTATTCAAAGGAATCATGCATGCTCTCTGCCAATCCCTATGTACCTTCTCCTCTTCC